TTGTCCATGGTAAACCTCACCTCAATATGCAAATATGAAGCAACAGATCTGGGTCTCGTGTTACTGTGACGACAATAGAAGATAAAGGTCTATGAGAATCAGCTGAACTGCATGCTGAATACAGACAGAGAAGTTTAGGAAAGTTGTGCTGAACGGAGTTGGGCAATTTTAGTTATGCCTCAGTCTGTTGCCGTAGGATAAAGCGTTAAAGGATAAAGTGTGCTTTGAGAATTTGTTTCTAAAGGGTATTTCAACTGAAATATTAAATAATATCAAAGATTTAGAATTTTATCATTTGAAACCCAATTTCTGCGTCTGTACGCAAAACATTTCGCAAATTCATAATTTTTTCAAACACAAAAACATATCGCAGAACAAGGTAAAAAAAACATTGTTTGCTATTAGTACATGTAGTTGTAATGACTTTAATGTGTCCACCAAATTGTGCAGTATTTGATACGTACGTTAGTAGTATTTTAAATTATGCATGGAGATTTAACATGGCAAAGGATATAAGAAGGGCACATTTTTAAAAAGAATGTTGGGTGTCAAAAGTAGCACTAGTAGTAAGCAGTACATTAGTACATAACTTAGTATATTATGAAACCGGGAGATACCCACTTCTTTTAAATAGAAAGCTAAGATTTTTAAAATATTGATTGAAAATCCGCTCCCCGAAAAATTGTAATATAACAGCAGGGCCGTAGCCTCCGGGGGGGCAGGGAGGGCAGCTGCCCCCCCTGGGATTTGAAGTGCAAAAAAAATAATCGCAATTTCTGACTTCTGATTGAGCAATAAATAACAGTTAAAATGCACCAGAATGCAGTATTATACATACAGTTTTTAAAAATTTTCCAAACCGTGGGAGGGGGACACCCCCTCCAACACCCCCCTGGCAGTTTGCTCAGGCTACGGCCCTGAACAGCATGCTACAAAGATCTGCTAAACTAAAATTTTGCTTGGGTAATGTGAGTACAGAATGAGCTGAAGACACTTGGCTTGTCATTTATTTTTTACGAAAATGTGTCAGGTAATTTTATATTGTCATTGATAAAGCAAAGATTGAAAGATAATTTTAGACAAACATTGACCGTGGAAATATCCACAAGAGTAAAGGGCTATTGTACCAACATCTTGTTGATAATTTTACAGTGCAATTTTATTTAAATAAGCCAATTTCACATAAATATAAGAATAAATTGCCAAATTTAGACTTTCATCACATAATCTAGCTATAGAAACTAGAGGGTAAACAGACACAAATAAAAATTAAGAACCTGCTATGTATTTTAGTCGACATCGATGATGAATTTCATTTTATTCTTAGATGTCCTTGCTACACAACGATTAGGCAGAAATATCATTTTTTTATTATACAAAGCAAAGTGTTTTCAAGCTAATTAAATTGTTATCACGTAACAATGTTTCACAATTAAACAACTCAGGAAAGTACTGCTTTCAACCCACAGGAGTAAGACCATACATTGATAGAATATTTTGGGAAAAATTGTATAGCAAATAGGATAAAGAAATCGTGGTACTTTGCAATAATGGAAGTCGAGGCAAATGAGTGTTGAAACAACTTGTGTTAAGCTACTTTCATTCACTGTAGTACTAAGTAATAAGTGTGTGTCCACCTTTCAACTTTGTCGCTTGGAATATGCAAATGTAGATAAAGGCATTTATCTCTGAAAATATTTCAAAAGACGGCTATATTTTTTCCAAATAATTTCCTCATTTTGAATATCTATACATATCTTTCAGTAATAATAATAATAATAATAATAATAATAATAATAATAATAATAATAATAATAATAATAGTAATTGGGATTAAAAAATATAGGCATGCTTTAAACTGTGTCGGAATTTGAAAAACTGCCATAACACCTAAGAGTGCCTGGATCTGCCCTTTGGAATTGTTTCTCAAAAATCATTTGGGGGTCTACTGTATTATCTTTAATTGCATTGGACGCAGAGGATTGCATAGGGGACTCACGGAGGAAGCAGACATGTGGCTCGGAGGGCGCACTGGTTGTTTGCGGTTTTACAGGAAAGTCTAAGGCCCGTATTCCAAAATGTACCTTAAGATAGGCCTTAGGTCAACTTTTACAAAGGGTTTCTTTGATGAGGTGTTCCTTGGTAAAGGAAGGCCTACCGAAATGGTATTCTGAGACCACACTTAAGCCTCTCCTTTGCTAAGGAATAACTTTGACAAAAGTCAGCCTTTAGGTAAGGGACACTGGCATAAAGGAGCTCCTCATTGGTTAAAGTAGGCCTTTGTGACACCCTCCTCGTTATAAACGCCTTACTAATGTTGTATAATTGGGGTCAACTGGTCAACTGCTATCATGCAACAGTGCATATGGACAATATCACTGCATGTGGATGTTTTGATCTAAGCCAAATTTAGTGAATAAAGCAAGTAATAAATAAATAAATATTAATAATAAAATAATAATAAAAAAATAGTAATAAGTAAATAAAGTAGTTGAAGCCATCTTTCGAGAAACGGAACCTTGCAAAGAAATCGTCATCGGTAAAGTCGTCTTCATTGAATTTAGGTAGGCGTGTTCTCATGCGTCTTGCATTCCTGTTGACATCATAAAGACGCACCAGTTGGTTTACATGGTCCCCCATGGAGCTGATTTTCACAAGAGAACTGTACACGATGGCTGCTTAAGGAAGACTAAAAGTTACTCCAGACCAACCTTACATTTTAAGGACTCCTCAACCGAAAATAAAGGAAATCTTTAAGCAAAGGCAGATTCTAGAAATGACCGATTCCTTTGCTAAGGATGATTGTAAAGTGACTCCTTTCAAGTGAGATAAAGAAAGGTCTTGGAATACAATTTCGTATAAGGTCAACTTTAAGTCTCCCTTAACGCTAAAGGGAGATTCTGGAATACGGGCCTAAGATTTGGTCATTCAAAGGAAGCACATGGATTGTTGGAGTAACTACACAGCGACATGAGTTTTTGGATATGGCGCGACCAATGAACATCCTGCACATTCTCAATATTTTTACAACAAGATAGGCACAAAGGATGCAGCTCTGTGTATAGGGGCCCAGATTGACATCTAAATAACAAAACGATTCAACCACAAAAACGTGTAATGAAGGGCGCCGGCAAAACGGTTAATGAAATTTGTGCTTAAATCTCGTACAAATCAGTTACTATGAATAAGGACAAGAGGGAATATCTTAAATTGAAGCAAATATTTCATTGATTTCTTGTTCTTAAACGATGCAAATGGTGAAAGAGATATAGTATAACAGCAGAATAC